ACCTCTGAAAAAAAAAAAAAAAAAAAAAAGATTGAACCCAACCTAAAGGGTCTCCCACCGCTCCGAGAGAGGTTAATCGCCGGATGTGCCCCAACAGGTCAGGAAACAAGAGCTGTCTGTATATTGATACTCACAAAGAGTTCCAATCCATATTTCAGGAATCGAATCCTCATACTGTGACTGCCAACAAAGTTGAATATACCTCACCCTTGTCCTTTGCACCATTGAAATATGACCCGGGAAATTATGGATAGCTCTCTGGATTTGCAAAATGGTGTGAAAATGAATATTCATTAGTCATTACACTTGGAGAGTAGAAGTAAACGGGTAGCTTGCAAACAATGGAGTGGGGCCCAATTGTGCTGGTGGAAATGGGTGTTGGACCGGTTGGAGTGAGAAAATGAAGGAGACAACGATGAGTGATCGGAGGCGTAGGGTAAAAAGGAAAAACAAATTCACGTGTAACCATCCTTTCTTGTCAGAATCTTTAATCAATTGAAATTGGACTGCTCTATGCAACGACAAATGATCTCTTGAAATGTACAAAAAGTATGCGCTTAAGAGTTTTTTATTGTAATTGCTTTTTAAGTCTAATTTACTTTGTCTAAATAAAGCTGTATGCAAGCATGATTTATCGTGGCAATTTTTGGATCTATATATGATAAGAAGGGAACGTTTGGCACGATTTTTAAAAAGCAAAAATGAACCTTTAAGATCCAAAAGCTGCTTTTTCGACACATTTGACTAACACAGAAATGCTGTGCAGTTAGTGGGATCGTCTTCTCGATTATATGGCGCAACAACATTGGAAAAAATTGTACTGGTTAAATTGTAACGTCTATTGTGCAATCACCTTTAAGTGCATGAGAGGCAATTTGATGTTATTTTCATGTAATCCGCAGCGTCAATAATGTCATGATCAATTACAAAATGGATTTTATGTTTTGCACTGCCAATAAAATCTTACAATCCGGAAATAATTGATCATGTTTAACAAAAAAGTTTGCTTCTGTCGCACTGTTGTTCTTTTCATGTAGATGTTGTAATAATAATAATGATGATGATGATGATGATGATGATGATGATACTTTTCCTCATATAATAATAATATTAATATTAACAACAACAACAACAACAACAACAACAACGTGTGTTTATGTGTATGGATAGCATTCTGGATTTGCAAAATGTGTGAAAAATGAAAATGTATATTCATTACGCTTAGGGAATAGAAGTAAACGGGTAGCTTGCTATCAAGCGTATAATGTAGTGGGGCCCAATTTTCTTGGTGGAAATGGGTGTTGGACCAGCTGGGGCAAGAAAATTAAAGAGACAATAATGAGTGCTTGGAGGCATGGGGTAAAAAGGAAAAAACATAAAGTAGATTCTTCAAAATTCAAATGTAACCGTCCTTTGTTGTCAGAACTTTTAATTAATAGAAGCTTTAATCAATTGAAATTAGAAAGCAATTTGATTGATGTGTGGAAATATAATACGGACGAATTATTAATCAATGCTCTTCCCAAGAACTTCCTAGTGTTTTTAAAAAGCAATTTGATTGATGTGTGGAAATATAATACGGACGAATTATTAATCAATGCTCTTCCCAACAACTTCCTAATGTTTTTAAAAAGCAATTTGATTGATGTGTGGAAATTTAATACAGTTCTTCCCAACAACTTCAATTATGCACATTATAATAACATTATAATAAAGGATGGCCGCCGTCCAACACTTTACTCCTCTCATGTTGAATAAAATCAGTAAATCACATAACCTACTTTTTCACATCGGAGCCAAACAAATCGTGCTGCTCCTCCGCTCAGTTGATCAATATTGTTCTTGGGAAAGCATTTCAGAACAGATTTTGTTATTTTGATTCCGAAACAGTAATCCTACTCATCTATGTATCAATTTTTTACTTTCATTAACTTTTATTTGTATGAATAAATCTTCATTTGATTGTATTATGAAAGTAGAGATAGAAACGTAGGTTTGGTTTAGGTTTCAATCTTTGCAAATCATTTTCAACCGCCAAACCATTTATCAAAATAAATCTGAAAATAAATTATTCTAAAATTTATTTAATCCAATTAAAACTTTAACACATTTCAATTAAAAAGATACATTTATATTAGACTTAATTCAATTAAACTCAATTCAACAATTATACATCTCAATTAATTAATTGATCATATCCAAATATGCATGAGTCATTACAACTATGAATGTAAAACCTTTAAATTGGATAAATTGTTGAACAACTAATGCTAAACCACATTCATCGATTCTTCATTACAATTGAATAGACAATAAAATCTAGATTTTAATTCAAACGTGCACATTTCAATTCCTTCTAATGATTTGCTTAAATTTTGCTCAAATTCAAGTCAGATTACCAAAATTCTTTTATTTTTTGGTAATTATTTTTATATTTTTATTGGTAGTTATGTTGTTTTGTTCTAATTATTGTCAGTTTGTCGATCTCCCTTAAAATAATTCACCAATATTTAGATTTAGTAGAAGTTTTGAATGATTCACAAAAATTCATAGTAGCTAGGTACTATTGTGTTTGAAATTTTTTTTATTAATTATTTTATATCATTTAACTATAACCAATGAATTTATGTCCTATATTTTTATATTTATGAAAAAAAAAGAATCATGTATTACACTTGCAGATGGACGCCATTAGTATCGACTAAGAGTTTAAAATATTTATATCATGTTGTTGCATTTAATGATTATAATTATATAACTTTGATTTGTAATTCTTTTAATAATACAATTTATATTTTAACATGAAATTTTAGACTAATATTTATATTTTAACTTATTTGATATATAATAATTTTTTTTTTTTTGCTAAAACTGTAGTTTTAAATCGAACCAAACCGAAAAAAATGGTTTGGATTTGTTTGGTTCGGTTTGAAAAATTTCAAACCCCTTTAAATGGTTTGATTTGAAAATTTATCTCAAACTGTCCAAAACAAACGGTGTTCACCTCTCGTTTAGATTTTTAATTATATATTTGTGATTAAGTTGTAATTTTTTGAAAATTTGGGGGCTATTGTTGCAATTGGTTCTTTATATTGTCATTTCTTTTTGTTTTATTTGAATAGGAGGATAAAATCATATTTTTATTGTAAAAATGGATGAAAATGACATTTCACGCAATGAAATGTGAAAATAGGGGTGGAAATGTCAAAAAATTAAAGATATTGATGTTTTGCACAATGACATTTAAAGATAAGGATGTTTTATTCTATTTAGCCTTATATATTATGCCCCTGTTTGATCCCCATTTTTGGTAATGAAAAGAGGAGGAATAGTGTTTTGTTGAAAAAATGAGTGGTTAAAAAAGAGGTAAAAATTTTCGATTTACGTTTAATACTATTTTATGGAAGATTGTGAGGTTGAAAATAAGAGAGAGAAAAATAAAATGTAATGAAATGTAATTTAATAGGGATCAAACAGGGCTATATAAGCTTTTATCAAAATATGTTAAATTTTTTATCAAGAACTTTGTCAAATAATACTAAGCAAGATTTTGTATTGGGATTTATGACACGAAGGTTTTCTTCTTTTTTTTTTCTTTTTTTTTTCTCTTTTTTAAATAAAATTAATATCAACGTGAAATCTGATTAGCTTATGCTTCTAAAAACCACTTTGATTGATGGGTACAATAGAATACTCCTTTATAAATTAATCAATATTCAACGCTGTACTTATCCACTTCAATAATGCACACATGAAGTAAAACATATCCTTCTTTCAATACTTTACTTTCTCTCTCTCATTCAATAAAATCAGTAGATTGCAGAACCTACTTTTCCACATCAAAGCCAAACAAAGCTAAATAGTGCTACACTTCTCAGTTGATCAACAGTGTTCTGGGAAATCATTTCAAACGGTAACTCTTATGTGTCTAAGAAAATTTGTGATCTGAACTTTTGGATATCTATGTTTTAGTTTGATTTATTTATTTTTTTTCTGTCTCAAAATTAGATTTGTACTTTCTAGTTGAAGGAGAAGAACTCTGAGTCTCTTTATGAACACTAATGCTAATTGATTGTATATGCAAGTAAAAATTGGCATCTAAATATTATTATATATAATATTTTTGAGCTACATGTTTTTAGAGTTTGTACCAAATAATGAACAAGGTTGGTGCTCCTATTCAATTGGATAAAATTAATTTAATTATAGTTGTTTCATAGTGCAACTGGTACTCGATTTGAATTTAATGCACATAACTTAACCTCCTTTAGTCAATAGGACTGAAAATAATGCTCATACAATTAGCCCTCGTTTGATCCCCATTACCTGAAAATGAAAATGGGGGGAATAGTATTTTTTAGAAAAAATGATTGGTTGAAAAAGAAGGAAAATTTTTCGATTTACGTGTAATATTATTTTATGAAATATTGTGTGGTTGAAAATAGGAGAGAAAAAAATGCAATGTAATGTAATTGAATTTAATGGGGATCAAACGGAGTCTTAAATGGGTTAAGAAGAAAGTATTCATTCACCATGGGATAATCGTGCGGAGAGGGAATGTAAATTTAAGTAAATAAGTTTTAAAGTGTTGCGAAATTAAGAAGATACCGGATTACTTCAATACTAATTTGTTGGAGAAAATAAGAGATTATTGCTACAATATAAAGTAAAGATTTCAAGGACACAAAAATAATTTGCGGAGTTAAGGAAATTTTATTATAATATGGAAAAAGAATACAAATTTTTTTGTGTTTATAATGTTTCTAACTTATTCTAAATCATAATGAAGAGCCAACTATCTATAGGAAACAATTAGGGGATGTTCGAACCATAATAGTAGAGTTGTAAGCTAGCCTCAGGCTAGCGAAAATACGAAGAGAACATTTTTCGGTCCATAATTTCAACTTTTTCAATTCCAACACAAATTCCAACTTTCAACAGAACTTCCAAATATAACTTTCTCCAGAATTTGGCAATTAAACTTTAATAGAATTCTATAATAGCATTTCAAATAGAATTCTTTTTAATATGCCCTTTAATTTGAACTCTCAATTATATTCAACAAAGAATTAGAACTCCCAAATTCGAACAATCTCCACTTTGACACAAATTTCATTACATTGAACAAAACTTCAAAGAAAAAAACCCTCCACTTGGAGACAAATTTCATTGCAATAAACTTGAACTCTTCAACTAAAAATACAAATGAACTTCTCCAACGAAAATTTTGAACTAGAAATATTCTCCATCTCTGTTATCCCAACTAGGGGCAAAAGTGATCTAATGACCACCAAACAAGGCTTAAACGAGCCTTATAATAGAATTACAACCGAACACATCAAAATAAGGATTTTGGCAAGATTCAACACCCTTAACTGCATTCAAACCATTAATTAAATCAGCAAATTTATACCAATGTGGAGTCTTATGTTAAAAAACGGGTCTGTTACTAGCAAATAAATATAATGACACCATTGATGATGGTGGCAAGGCGAATTTACCAATAACTTCTAAATTAAACTGAGATTTATTCTTTGAAGAAGAGCACAAATTAGACTTCAATGGTACATAAACCAACTTTAAATCTATCTGAGTTCTTAAAATATGTTGATTGGTATAACACTGCAAGATATAAAAGTGAAATTTTCTATGTCCATTTATCAAAACACGGGATCTTTTACTAACATATGGAAAGTGAAAGTTGCATCAAGTATCAAAGTCTCATCAGTTTTGAAGTTGTAGTTACTGTTAGGATTTCTGCAATGCTTGTTTCCCTTGAAAATTCTGATTGTTGATTTCCAATCAATTTTCCTTTATTTTGCAACTTATAACAATTGTTTATCAAGTGCCCATTTTTCTTACAATAGTTACAAAAATTTGAAGTTAGATGTTGACACGCCCTTTGCACGACCACTATCAATAATGAGACCATCTCCATGAACCTTAGATGAAACAAGATGTTTCATCTTACCCTTTGAACATAGAGCATCATAGACTTCTTCGATGGAGAGTATCACAACTATATAAAATCGTGTCTATAAGAGACGTATATGAAGCAAGCAATGAACATAATAAAATCAATCCTAAATCTTTTTTATCATATTTGATCTCCAAGGTCTCCAAATCAACGATAATTTCCTTGAAGGTAGCTATGTGATTCTCAAACGACGCACCGTCTATCATACTATGAGAATATAGATGTTGCTTCAAATGTAATTTATTAGTAAGACTCTTCGTCATGCAATATTGCTCAAATTTTAACCATAATGTAGCGGACAACTTTTCCTTCAAAATGTCTTGAAAAATATTATTTGAAAGATGAAGATGTATTTGAGATAGGGCCTTTCAATCCATCCATTGTTTCTCCTTCGGAGTCCAAATTGTGTATATCTTGTCAAATCCCAAAAACGTATCGTGAAATTTCATTTGAGCGAGTACTACTCCCATCTTTACCTACCACAAATAGAATCTTGTATTGTGATCTAATAGTTGAATATCATACTTTATAGTTCATCATGAAAATATCAAGTTGAGCTATTAACTTGATCACAACCTCAATCTTCCCAAGAATTTCAAAATCAAAATTTCTGATACTAGTTCGTTGTTAAATGAAGATGATATCAGATTAATCCAATAATTATTTGTTGGAGAAAATAAGAGATTATAGCCATAATATGAAATAAAGGTCTCAAAGACAAAAGAACAATGTAATTTATAGAGTAAATAGAATTTTATTATAATACGGAGAAAGAATACAAATATTTTTGTGTTTATAATGTTTCCAAATTGTTCTAAATTATAATGAAGAGGCAACTATATAAGGAACAATTAGAGGATGTCCAAACCCTAAAGGTAGAGTTGTAGTTAAAGTAGAATGTAAGAAAACGGATCAAAAAGCAAAAATGGGCCTAGGCCGAATAACACCGTCGCTTGAACCGATGGCTAGTACTAGGCGAGCTGCACCTTGTCGATCAAGCGGTAGGCTAGAGCTAGTTTCTCTGCTTTTTGCACTCTAGTGCCCAGGGCTAGCAAAAATGTGGCGAGAACATGCTTCAGTCCATAATTTCAACATTTTCAAGTCCAACCCAAATTTCAACTCCCAATAAGATTTCCAAATAGAATTTCAACAAGAATTTGTCAAGTAAACTTGAATAGGATTTCACAATAGCATTCTAAATAGAATCTTCTTAATGTACATTTTAATTAGAACTCTCAATTATTTTCAATGAAGAATTTGGGTCACACCCAAATTCTAACATAAAATAAATAACTTATTTTCTTAACTGAAGTTAAAAATGAGCAAGATAGTATTATTGATAACGTATTAGTTACTTTTTAAAAAGTAACAATTCAACTTAATGTTAAGAGAAAATAAGTTATTCATACATATTTGTAAACTAAACGTAAATTTACATATAATTAAATAAGTAAAGTTACAAATATTTAAATAAGTAAGTTCTAAAATGAATAATTAAATTTTGGTAAATTAGGTAAGTTCTAAAATAAATATATATATATTTTTTGTTAATCAAAGGTGAATTCCTTATTTTGAAACAAAAATTAGAATTACATTTAAATGAAAGTAATTGTTTACTTAACTAAAAGGAGGGAAAAAGTTGTGAAACATACTTGTCGATATAAGGTATATTTTCTAATAATTAAATAATTAAATTTTCAAATAAATAGTTTTTTATCAGTCAAGGTAAACTACTTATCTTAAAATTAACTCAAGTATTACCTTAAAAGAAAAAATTACTTAAGAATAAGAGAAATTAAATTTTCTAAAGTATTTCTAAATACAAAGTAAATAGGACAATGCTACATATACATAATTTTTTTTTACTTAATCCTTCACCTACTAACAATAGGGGGTGGGGACCATAATTGAAAATTTTTATATTCATGCATTCCCGCAAGAGGGGGACAGCTTTCGGTACCCCCAGTTCGGTCGGCAGAACCATATTAAGAACTTGTTTACAATTTTTTTTTTTTTTTTTTTTTTTTTTTTAATTTTTTTTTTTTTTTAATTTTTTTTTTTTTTTAATTTTTTTTTTTTTTTAATTTTTTTTTTTTTTTAATTTTTTTTTTTTTTTAATTTTTTTTTTTTTTTAATTTTTTTTTTTTTTTAATTTTTTTTTTTTTTTAATTTTTTTTTTTTTTTAATTTTTTTTTTTTTTTAATTTTTTTTTTTTTTTAATTTTTTTTTTTTTTTTTTTTTTTGGTTAAGTTAATTTTTGAAAATATATTTCCAGTAATCATTAGTTTTTTGCTTAATAATTTTGATAAGCTTGAGCAATTTAAACAACTGTTCCAATCTCTCATTACTGTTCCAATCTCTCATTAGAGTTATTGTTTGTCAATCCAAATGACAGAAACAGGGCATGACTCCTTCAACTAACAATCTGAGGAAACTTCTTGAATATCGATTCAAGAACGAAAGGCTTGAAATGTTCCATGGTCAAGGACAACTTGTTCTAATTGTTGCCCAGTTTATGATAAAAATGTGCGGTGAAGATGATGAAGTAATTGCTTTGCTAAAGAGACTTGACGATTTGGCGAGGAATTGCTCGGGATCCAGTCGACATAGTAAAGAATACATAAACTTTTCCTTATTATTTAGGTCTTTCATGGCAAGGCTTAGAGTATTCTTCGAAGTCCCGAATTCCATGCAGAATCTCATTAATCCTAATGAGCGTGTTGCGGTCTTCATTGACCTTTTCCTCGAAATTTTAGAAGAAATACTTCGTCTTCAGCCAAATTTCATTCTTCCTGTCAACGATTCAATTCAAACTCTTAATATGGAACTAAAATTTCTTATCACCTTTCTTGGGGATAAACCATCGCAGCCCACTGAGCTCCATACAACCAAGATTGTATTGGTAGATATTGAAGCTGTAGCCAATAAAGTGGGAAGTTTTTTATATTCTTTCTTTCTCGTCACAGACCGTATTTCGGTCACTGCTATGAAGCAGAATCTTTTGCATTTGTTGGAAAATCTGAGGCTCCTGAACGAAAAGATAAAAGAGCACTGCATCTCACTCACAGAAATATTACAGAGTGATAGGATCCCAAATACAGATGTGGTTTCGCTCTTCCTTGTTGACTCAATTCTAGACGATCTCAAGATTATACTGAATCACAATGACGACAGGATTTCTTCTGTGAAGGCTGAAATTGGAACAATCCATAGTGAGCTAATGTCCTTGCAATACTTGCTTGCTCACATGGAGGTGGAACGATATTCAGAGCTTGAAGAATTTGTTATACGAATTAGAGACATAGCATATGAAGTTGAATATGTAGTCAGCTCATTTTCTCCTGTATGGTATCTCAAAATCAGGCTTCCTCAAGTAGTTGACAAGATTACGCTTGTTAGGATACAACTCCAAGAAATGAAGAAGAAATATTCTGCTGGAATGCTAAAGGATGCAGAATATCCAAGGCAACAAATGTTATTGCAAACTCAGACACCTGACACTGGAGACATTGTTGGCTTAGAGGATGAGGTGACAAAAATTAAAGAGCAACTCCTTACAGGCACAAAGCAGCTACAATTTATTTCTATTTTTGGGATGCCAGGACTTGGCAAGACTACTTTGGCAAAGAAAGTTTATCACGATCCTTCGATTGTTAAACATTTTGACAAGCGCGCCTGGTGTGTTGTCTCTCAAAATTATCAACGTAGAAATATCTTAATTGAAATTTTAACATCAATGAATGTCCTTAACAAAGAAGCAATGATGGACATGGACGACAATAGTTTGGGTGGCAAACTCTATCAAAGTTTAATAAGTAGAAGATACATCATTGTCATGGACGATATATGGGATGTCAGTCCGTGGAATAATATCAAAGCATACATTCCAAACGGTGAACAAGGAAGCAGAATTTTATTCACCACTAGGGATAAAGATGTGGCTCCCAAAGCTTCATCTTCTGCCATTATTAATCCTCTTAAACGCTTGACGGATGAGGAATGTTGGAATTTATTGAAGAGGAAGGTATTCCAACAAATTTCATTCCCTGAAAATTTGACAGTCACAGGAGAGGAAATTGCAAGAAAATGTGATGGATTACCACTTGCAGTTGTTGTCATAGCTGCAGTTCTCGCAAATATGCAGAAGGAACCAAAGTTATGGGAGGATGTTGCTGAAAGAATAAGTTCACACAGAGCTAAAGAGTCAGACAAGTTCATGAATATACTGGAGCTTAGTTACAATTCTTTACCTATGCATTTGAAACCATGTTTTCTTTACTTCGGAACCTTTGAGGAAGACAGGGAAATCGCAGTCCGGAAGTTGATATCGCTATGGATTGCTGAAGGGTTTGTCGAGAAAGTAGAGAACATGAGCATGGAGGCTGCAGCACAGGAGTACCTGAAACATCTCATTAATAGAAGCCTGGTACAAGTTGCCAAAAGAAGATCCGATGGTGGAGTCAAAACTTGCCGTATTCATGACCTCTTGCGTGATATGTGCTTGCAAATAGCTGAAAAAGATAAATTTATGAAGGTGATTCAAAAGTAAGCTCTCTCTCTCTCTCTCTCTCTATGTCCCTCTGTGTGTGTGTTTCATCTTGCCTTCTGTTTTGTTTATATTTTGCACACTAATGATGATGACTATATGTGATCATGTCAATGTTGCTGTTGTTTCTGGCGATGCTTTACTGTCATTATCCTGTGACACTTGATGGCACTACATTATGGCTCTTCAGTCAGTTGTCAGTATATGAGCAATGTCAACGCCTAAGCATTCACTCTCGCTCAATTCCTTCTTTTTCGAGACCATTTGGACTGCATGTTCGCTCACTGTTAGGAAACTTACCTGATCCCTCCACATTCATCTTTGGCAACTTGAAACTTCTTAAGGTATTGGATTTATCAAGCATGGACTTCAGATTTTACAATACACCACGAGTAGAGGATTTGGTTCTCTTAAGGTTCTTGGCAGTTTCTTCTGTACCATCATCAATAGAGAGGTTTCAAAATCTAGAATTTCTTTTTGTGGATAATAGGAAAACAGTTGAAATACCGGAGAACCTTTTTAATATGGTGAAGCTAAAACATGTATATTTCAGCGGTGGTGCACAATTCAGTAAATCCTGGCGTGAGCAAGCAGCTAAGGGCAAGACGTTCCCAGAAAGTAGCCTACAAAGAATTTCTTATGTTTCCATTTATGATGAAAATGATGAGAAAATCTTGAGATACTCACCTAACATCCGAAGACTGAAATGTAGATTTGCAGTATTTTTTGATTCATCAGAAAACAACTATCGCTATCCTACCTTGAATTTCCTTGGTCAGCTAGAATCCCTCAGCATATCTTTCCGTCGGAGTTATGTTATAGATGACCCCAGTCCCGATTTAACCAATTTACCCTTGAAATTAAGAAGGTTGACTCTCCGTAACTTCAATTTATCTTGGAAGCAAATGGAAATAGTTGGAACACTACCTGAGCTTGAGGTTCTCAAGTTACGAAATGGTACCATTGAGGAAAAAAGATGGGACACAAGTGAAGGTGAATTTAAAAAACTTAAATTCTTGGAACTAGATGAGGTACAAATTGAACAATGGAATGTCTCAATGTATGATTTTCCGGAACTTGAACGATTAGTTTTGCGAAACTGCCAGCATTTGGAGATCCCTTCTGATTTTGGCTATTGTGAACGTCTACTAAAGATTGAGGTACATGGTTGCGAAGAATCTGTTGAACTCTCTGCTTCGGAGATTAAAAAAGAGCAAGAAGATTACAGTCATGATATCGAAGTCCTTATCTCCAACTCCTGATAAGAGTTCTTTCTTATGTAATTTAAGTTTGAAAATCTCATTTTGCAGGTCTCTCCTCTCAATATTCAGACTTAACATTATGCGCTGTTTTTATTTCTTGCATTTTCTGATGTTCATCCTCATTTGCTCAATTACTATATATATATATATATATATATATATATATATATATATAAAAGGAGTTGAACCTGTAAGTTTTCCATGAAGTGCTTTATTTTAAACAACTTATGAGAACAATTTTTATATCACAATGAGCAGTTTTTATGAAGTAAATTTTCAAGAAATATTAGTTTTATTAAGTCTAAAATGTTTTTATTCTAACATCCAAAAGTTCTATACTGTACTTGAAACTTCATTAGAATGTTTAGAATTTGAATTTTCCATGAGTTAAGTCTAAATTATGAGATGAATAATATTATTATTCCTCAAGAACTAGAAAGCAGAATTTCAGCTACAAATCGAATACATTGAACCAAACGTTATGACTTGAATAAATTTTTTTGAACTTTTGACTTAATTAGCTTTTAATTAGTTTTATGTAAAAAAAAAAAATATTTTTTATCGCTTGAGATTATTAAATTTGCATGAGTGACATACTAAACAAAACCTTTAGCACGTGTATGATACATAAGGATATTTATACAGGTGGTGTTGTTGATTTTATATTCGGCAAGTGTACAAATTATAACAAATAATAAAGTAGACCTAAGAATTTGAATATTGTTTTCGCTAGAACTACTATCTAATCATTGGTTAAGTTATTCCCAACTTCAATTTGATTGAAAACAAATAAAAGTCGTTATATCCTCTTTAAAATTTTTTATTTTAAATATACTAAAATAATAAAAGTTGATTTTTTAATGATGATTTAAGTGTTAGGATTCAGAGTTCACCATAGCTATCCCTTTAATCTCAATCACCAATTTTTATCACAATTAATTATGTGTACCCAGTCAAATTCTTCTAACATATTCAATTTACTTCTTATAATTTCAAATTAATTATATTTAACTAAGTTAACCCTCTCCCCTCTTTTCCTTTTGTCTTGTTTTTGTTTATGCCCATGTTTAGTTGTAGATTTTAACGTAAGTTAAAGTCAATACTTAATTTTAACCACATATTTTATAGCAATAAATTTCAACCATACATTTTATGGGATTCAGAGTTTTTTAACCACACATTCCATTAACTTTTATCAAAATCTTCTAAAAATCTAATTTTAATCCCTACTAAACAGGAGGTATATTTATGAATACTAATGATTGTGACAATATTGTGATCACGTCAATGTTGTTGTTGTTGCCAGTGAAGTTTTGATGCTATTATCTTTCAATGCTTGGGTGAGGCTACATTGTGGTTTTTCAGTAAACAGTCGATAGATGAGCAATACCAGTGCCTAAGCATTCACTCTCACTCAAATCCTTTATTTTCGAGATCATTTGGACTGCACGTTCCATCCCTATTAAGACATTTACCTGATCCCTCCACATTCATCTTTGTCAACTTAAAACTTCTTAAGGTATTGGATTGTCGAACATCGATTATTGATTTTATAATTCAACACAAGTAGAGCATTTGGTCTTGGCAGTTCTCTTAAGGTCAAATCGCCATTTCCTTAGCCCCAACATTATGGTAATAACTAGTTTCAGTGTTCTCATTTTGTTCTTCTTGTGTTTGTTTTGAAGAGGTTAACAAGTAGGTTTGAGTTCTATATCATATTAATATAGTTGGCCTGTTTCCCTTTTAGGTACATATGCACATCAAACATTGAATACAACATTTACTTGAACATAATGATCATTGGCTTTTATTGGTAACGAGACGAAGTGCAAGGCTTTTTTTTTTTTTTTTTTTTTTTCTTTTTTTGGATTGTTAATGTGTGTGCATGATACACTTGGGCCCATTGTCTAAATTGCATTTCTTGAGTTTGAACACCATCTAATGAGATCCATGGTACGAGAGCTAGCAAGAACAAGAATTCGTTGATCGTGGAGAATGGCCAATGACTAGGTCATGAGCAAAGAAGGTCAAAGAAGCCATAGGATTACTTGTTTGAGTTACGGTAAGCGAAACATTACTCACAAGCAAAGGGACAAGTTTCATGTTGGGCATGGAAGAAGAAATACTATGGATCAATTTGATTCAAGCAACAGGCAAAGGAACTGACAGGAAACGCTATGCAACCACCTAGCACATCAAGGCATACCATTATACCGAAATGAAGGGTAAAAATGCGCATATACGATCACACTCCTTAACGTTATGCGACTACATAGTACAGAAATTGGATGCGAATTTTCCAAATTTCGCATATTCTCCTATTTTAGTTAAAACTCTATTTTATGGTATCTTTAGACTTTATTTCCATTTCACTTAGGGTTTTTATGAGTTACCTATATATAAAGCTCACTCTTTTCATTGTAAAATACACAATTTGAGAGATATTATTCCAAGGCATATTTGATTTCTACTAGTTCTGCATTGAATTAATTCTGGAACTTATCAAGGACTAATTGCTTATGGCATTCAACAATTCAAGTAAGTTTCATAAGTTTGGTGATCACAGAGTCAAGATATTGTTTGCGATTGTTTGAATTCTTTGGTTCAATAATTTATCAGGTCAACTTTTTCCAAAAGTTGATTACTGGCTTTTTTGGGTTTGATCTAATCTGTTACGTGTTTCATAGTATCAATTATTATGTGGGTGCACATCATTTTGTATCAAAGCTTAGGTTTTAAAAAATCAAGGTTATATGCTTTACTTTTTGTTAAAATTTTCATCCCCATTCTTCGTGTTCTTCATCTTTTGAGTCATTCAATCCAATTAAAGTTTCAAACAAATTCAAAAATTGTTTGTGCACTAAATTAGTACCTAAATCAATTTCTTTTCAAATTTTTGGGGTCCTTGTTGAATTCTCGAGCGTCTAGTAAAAAGAAATCTAAAAATTGGAAAAACGTTTAGTAATTACAAAAAAAAAAAAAGGAAGGGGTGAGTCCAAAGTAAAAAATGTCCAATTCGAATTCAAGAAATACCTTCTTGAATTTATCTTTAGTGTTTCATACGAGTGTCAATTCCCGCTTCTTGAGTTATGCTAGAGTCAAACTTCCCTTACTCAATTCTTTGTTTGAACTCCGCAAGGATTGAATTTTGAGTGAGATCGAATTAGTTCTTTAAAGTGCTTGTAAGGAAGCATTGAGTGAAAAACGTAGATCGGTAAAGCTAATAGAGGGAAAAAAATCCAGGGTGAGTGATAAACAAGTATACACACTTAGGCAAATAATATTCTAGATTTAGGATGTCTGACAGAGATGATTATACTTCAAGCAAGAAGAATAATCAAGTCATCATGATGGAAGAGATGGTATGATGATTTGAGAGGTTATTTAGAGATATGGTAGATGGAATGAATTGGCAAGAGGCGTGGATGGAGAGGCAAGATGCATTGCTTGCCAATTTATGTAGGAAACATCCTAAAGGAATTCATAATGTGATGAGGCATAGTAAGCGGGTGCCTAAAGCTAAAATTGGAGGTGAAAATGAAGTGGTTAGTGGGATTGATGATGATGTATTGTAGAGGCTGAAATAGGAAAGACGAGGAATAAAGGAGATAGGCATGATCTAAGGGCTAGAGATTATGTGGAAGATGGTGTTGATAGGAATATGGGCAACATTAAAATGACCTTCCATCATTCAATGGAAAGAGTGACCGGGAGGTCTATTAAGAGTGGGAAAGAAGATAGAGCTTATATTTGATTGCCATAACTACTCGAAGGAGAAAAAGGTAAAACTTGTTTTCATTAGGTTTACTAATTATGCTATCATTTGGTGGGATCAAAGAGTAATCTCTAGGAAGAGAAATCATGAGCTGCCTATTGCAACATGGGGAGAATTGAAGGCTATCATGAGGAAGAGGTTTCGTCCCTAATATTATCATAGGGATCTCTACAAACCGTCTATCATAGTTCTAGGAGTGTGGAAAAGTATTACAAGGAGATGGAGATTGCCATGATAAGAGGGAATGTTGAGAAGGATCAGGAAACCATCACGGCCTAATTTTTGAATGGTTTGATTAGGGAGATAGCTAATGTCGTAGAACTACAACATTACGTGGAGTTGGAGAACATGCTACATGTAGCTATGAAGGTGGAGCGACAGTTGAACAAGAAGAGAGTAGCTAAATACCCATCGAATTCTTCGGGTTCTAACTCTTCATGGAAGTCGAAGTGGGATAACAATAAAGGTGATGGGGCTATTTAAAGGGTAAGGCTAAGCTATTGAAGGAAAGAGAGGAAGTTTCTAGCAAAGCTACACCCAAGGCGGATTCTCAGCCTCTTAAGAATCAGGATATCAAATGCTTTAGATGCTTGTGATCAGGACACATTGCGTTCTAATCTCCAAACAAAAGGGCGATGACTCTACAAGATAGTGGGGAAGTGGTGAGTGATAGAAAGGGTGAGCATGATGACATGCTAGAATTGGAAGACACTAGTGATGGTGAGAAAGTGAAGTATGTAGCAGGAGAGTTGTTGGTCACAAGGTGAGCTTTTAGTGCTCAAATCAAATTAGATGACTCGGAGCAACAAAGGGAGAATATATTTCACACAAGATGCCATGTCAACAACAAGGTATGTAGTATGATTATTGATGGAGGTAGTTGTACCAATGTGGCTAGCACTATACTTATTGAGAAATTGAGATTAACCATGCTAAAACGTCTTAACCGTCACAAATTGCAATAGTTAGATGAATTTGGAGGGGTTAAGGTGAACAGGCGAGTGTTGGTAAGTTTCTCAATTGGGAAGTATCATGATGAGGTGACGTGTGACGTAGATCCTAAGCATTCTAGACACATTTTTGTTGACCTATGGTTGACTTCATTCTCAATGTTTTGATCATAACAAATAAGATTAATATTTCTTCTAGCAATTTATTTTAAGTGATGATGGTTCAATGTTAAAATCTATAAAGCAATATATATTGGACTTGAAATGAAGATCAAATTAGAAGTTTCTTATGCATTCAAGTCAAACTGGAAGTTGCTTATGCATTCAAGTCAAATCATTCGAGATGAGAACTTAAAAGATAAACGCCAAGAAAAGTCAA